TGATTTCTATATATTGTATGCTTTGATTGCAATTTGAGATTTCAGAGTGTTAATTGTGAAGGAAATGTGTAGATTAACTTTAATTTTTTTTTGATAAGAAGAGGAGGAGGAGGAGGTGAAGAAGAAGAAAGAAGAGGAGAAGAAGACGAAAGAGAAGGAGGAGAAGAAGAAGACGAAAGAGAAGGAGGAGAAGAAGAAGACGAAAGAGAAGGAGGAGGAGAAGAAGACGAAAGAGAAGGAGGAGGAGAGGAAGACGAAAGAGAAGGAGGAGGAGAGGAAGACGAAAGAGAAGGAGGAGGAGAGGAAGACGGAAGAGAAGGAGGAGAGGAAGACGGAAGAGGAGGAGGAGAGGAAGACGGAAGAGGAGGAGGAGAGGAAGACGGAAGAGGAGGAGGAGAGGAAGATGGAAGAGGAGGAGGAGAGGAAGACGGAAGAGGAGGAGAGGAAGACGGAAGAGGAGGAGAGGAAGACGGAAGAGGAGGAGAGGAATAACGGAAGAGAAGGAGGAGAAGAAGACGGAAGAGAAGGAGGAGAAGACGGAAGAGAAGGAGGAGAAGACGGAAGAGAAGGAGGAGAAGAAGACGGAAGAGAAGGAGGAGAAGAAGATGGAAGAGAAGGAGGAGAAGAAGATGGAAGAGAAGGAGGAGAAGAAGACGGAAGAGAAGGAGGAGAAGAAGAAAAATATGTAGAAGGTCTTTAAACACCTGCAACTTTTAAAATTTCCAGTTTCACTTGCAAATTCTCTTTTTTGCAAGAAAATTGAAGTCTATATAACATTTTGGGTCAATAATCTCGAAAATCAAAGATTATGTATTTTGGGAATTAAGGTTTGAAAAAAGGGGCACTTTTGAATTAAGGAGTAAAAACATTGGTATAAAATTCAAATGAAATGAGGCTCAATGTAAAAAACCTGTTCTTTGAACCGTTTGCTGTTGGGAGAAACATTTTTTATTTTAGAATATATTTTCATGTGAGATTTCAATTTTTTCCGAAGTTTATCAGAATGCTCAGAAAATTTACCAATTTGTGGTATAATTTTGAAACAACTTTAAAGGTCAAACATAAGCACTTAATATGATGCTTCTAGCTTTTTTCACATCACATTGAAGAATTTAAAAAAATTGTAAACTAATTGGAAGGGGTCATGCTTTTTTAGGCTGATTTCATGTGGAATTACCCATTATAGTTTCATCAATATAGATTTCTCACATTAACAATTTATAATTAATAAAAAATTCATAGTTCTATCAGATTAAAAAATGTTACGCACCATACTTTGACACATCAGCACCACACAATCGTAAATAATGTACACAGTCTGCAGTAGGAACATAACCTCTAGCAGACGTTTTTCCCCTCCAACCGACCAGGTGCAATTTTAGAGGATTGTTATCGGGGTCATTTTTGTTATCTTCTTCCACAAATGAAAGTACACAGCTACCCTGAGCTAAAACAAAAAATATTTTTCATAAAATAATTTCAACACATAATTAGAAGAAAAAGTCTCGATAACTGATTGTTTACACAATTTAATAATACTCGGCTTTGATAAAACGGATGGATGAAATTTTAGAATAAATCAGTGTCTCGAGCAATTTCAACGGAATTTGGAACACACATTTGTAAAATTAAAAAACCTCGACACAAACACACACCCTGCAGGGACATCTACAGACAAATGCTTATGTGACCAGGAATGCACCCAAGAGCTGTTTATGAGATGACAGTGATAATAGCAACAGGCCATAGATATTAAGAAGTGTTAAAATATTTTCCATACAAAGATTAGTTTATTTGTGAAAATTTATTTTCAAAGTAATTTCCATCATTATAAATGGGAAGTCTCGGGTTAAAATTAGTTTTCTCTTTATTGGAAACTGTCACATCATAGAATATTTATCTAATTTCATCACTTATCAAGCAGAAAATATTTGAAATCCATAATGGTTTTAAATCACACATTTTAATAAAGAGTACAAGAATATACCACATTAAGTTTCCAGGCTATATTTCCATAGCTCTAAAGTGTTATACACTATGTCCTGAAATCAACAGAACAATTTTCAGCAATATATATTTATCTATGCTCAGAAAGTTTAGCAAAATAATTGATAACTTAATAGGAATTTTTTTAGTGAATGACATTACTGATTATATCTCTAGATATTACTACTGAATAGATACATTATAAAGTATACATAATAATAAAGGAGCAATGGAATTTTCACGTAAACACATATTTTTACAAGAAGAAAACCCTGCGTTCAATAATATTTTTTTAGAATGTACAAGACATTTTGAATTAATTAGAACCATCTTTGTTTTATGTATTTTACCTAAAACTACATATTTTGTTACGTTTTAATATATTTGTAGTTACACTCTGAACATTTCATAAGCAATATATGCAAGTGGAGTCACCTTTCTGACAAAGGGAGCATACACACGTGCACCCTTCCCTCCTTCACTTAATATGTAAGTTCCAGTGTAGAAATATAATTTCTGTAACTTAAAGTTCAACTCCACATTCAGGATTATATTGATATCAAAATGACAGCAAGAGAGAAATCTCTTTGAAGGTCTACACTTAGTAACCCCAACTTTATTAACAACTAACCAAACTGTAAATAAAGATATATTTCTAACTAAAAGAGTTGATAGTTTTTCTTCCTACGAGTGAAGTATGGAAATTGTGATCTGCAACATTTGATCTCTAAGGTACAGATTTGCTCATCAACTTACAAATAGCATTTAGATGTTCTTGACACTTTGGGCTTAGCCGGAAAATTTCAGGAGGCAATTTTGGATTGTCACAAGTAAGTAATGTTATAAGATCATCTTTTGTGATGGGCACACGCCGCTTTGGTCCAATAAAAGGAATAATACTCTGCAAACCCTGTGAAACATGAATTTTCACTTTACAATAAATTCAACAGATCTTACTAACAAACGGAAAAAATGAAAAAAGAAAATTTAAATTATGAAATTTGGAGATTAAGTACATAATATATATATATATATATAGTTTTGTTGAAAAAACGTAAAATATACTAAATGGTGAAGGAGAAAACTTAAAATTTTTATATTAGTGAAACATAATAAAATTTATTGTTATGACAGGATTATAAAAATTTGGTGTTACCTCCTGAGCCAATCTAAATGCACACTCCATGTCAGTATTGTAACATCTTACAAATGTTTTCACACCAGTATTTATTAACTGAAACACAAAAATAAACATCAATTATTACACAATTAGTCAAAGTATTATAAACTCCAATATATTATATACTCCAAGTGGGTAATTTCACAGCACATTGGAGATGATTTTTTTGATATTTTGATGTATATAAGGAACATGGACAGCATAATGATAATACAGAAATGAGCTCTAAGATGAATATTACACCTGCTTCCCAACCATTCGTGTAGAAAATGTCATATAGAGAATACAAAATAATGACTGTTGTTGCAATTTATCCATATAGGGTAATTATGCTCATGAAAAACAGTAACTCTCACCTTATTCAAAACAAATCTGTATATCAATACAATACAAGAGGAAAGGAAAACTATCACAGGATGGACTCTGCAAAATCCTCCTCAAAGAAGGATCCTTATCGGAATGCTGCAATACTCTGCAATTAACTACCTAACCATATTAAGGAGTTAAGCAAAAAATTCAAAAAAACACTAAAAAATTACTTGATTGAAACATTGCCCATAGGTAAAGAGAGCAATGTTACAATATTTATATATTCTTTACTTTAAGATAAGTTATTTTATACACTTAGAATATGCAATTTAGGTTTAGATTGTCATTTCTATGAACTATATAAAATGTAAAAAATTATGAATAATACAATTGAGTCATTTGATGTCGAATTGCACAACTTTAAGGAAAATTTGACCTTGATGTTCCAGATTTTAATTTTTTTTTTCCTATGAAGAGTACAAGCAAAAACATGAAACGTGTTTCTCATTTTTTCCCAAATATTTTTTGAGATTATATGAATTTTCAAAATTTTCGAAACAATGATTGCATTGCTAAAATTTATTCATTTTTAACTTGTTGTAATCGTGACAGAAATTTAATTTTTTGCGACATTAATGAACATATGTTGCTCTTTCATTTGGTGTGTATGTATGGAATAAATCAAATTAAAAACAAATACTTATTTAATTTTATTTTTTTAAATTTCTCCCTCGATAGTTTAAAAAGTTAAAAAAAAATACTATAGAAATTTTTGAACAGTTTTTCATAAGTTCGGTAAGTTACAAAGTTACATTGAGACGAATCTGAGAAATTAAATGCAATAGAAATGGCTACTTGCTGTTTTGCTGCAGCATCTGCTAGAGCGTCCCGTTAAACACATGCCAATCACAGTAGACGATTACTATCAATATATGGGGGCCCTCGGGACAAAAGAGGAGGCCTATATAGACCAAATAGAAATTTATGTCTCAAATTTCTATAAAAATTATCAGTTTTAATTTGTATCTGTACAGAAAGTACTTGTACTATAGCACATTTTTTATTTAATAAAGATGGAGCTATTTTTTCGGGGGGTGGGGGGGAGCGGGGGTGGCAACACAATTTTGTGCTTGGGGCCCCACACTACTTAAATCCTGCCCTGAACAGAAGATTAACTTACTTGTATCAAGTGATACGTTAGGGTGACCATGACCAGCGGTACACCTTTATTCGTCATTGTCACTACTCAACATTATGCAGCATGAACAATTATAGTTGATTTTCACTTTCTTGAAAAAAAAAAAAACATTCACTTAATCGTCACGAGAAGGAATTTTTAAAACTAGTTTTTCCAATAAATACTATAACTTATTGGACAACAAACAGTCAATTTTCAACTTCACAAGTATGCTGGTTGTAACAACCCAAACATACACCTTTTCTGCAATTATAGATTTTCACATTAAGAAAATGCAAGTAACAATAGAATTGATATCTAAGACTATCTGTGGTTACTAACTTCACAGAACAATGCATATGTTTCATGGATTCCTCTGTTTATACAACTGACTCGATATATTTGAAAAAGAAGGCCACTCTGCTTTAGGCAGACCATAGCCATGTCAGTTGTATATAAATAAATGTAGTCGCATTTCGTCAGAAGACTTTCATTTGAGACCATATGTGTGTTTCTATGATTTATACGATGATATAAATCTCACGGTTGGACCTCATGATGCAACACGTCATTGATACCCTGTAATTGGAGCAGCGAGTCCGGCGGGCAGCGAGCTGCCTACGTGCTCCGGTGAACAAACTATTTTTTTTAAATGTTATAATGAGTGTCCCATTTTGAAATTTGGCAGATCTATACAATATTAGTGTAGAAATATACGAGTATTTTTTAAATTAATTGTAGTGTCGACCTACTGTTAAAATTTGCATTTTAAAAATTAAAATATATTTTAAATATTTAATTTTTTTAATGTTTAAAAAAATAATTTTTACATCTTATGAAAGGATATATTTTTAAGTTAAATTTAATGGTAATTTTATTTTTATGAAGGAAATAGTATTTGCACAAAAAATGTTAAACATTAGCGGACACATGATTTTTCAGAAAAAATAATTGGTAATATTTATGAAAGGAGTGTGATTAGGGGAAAAAAATTCAGTCACCTCTTTTCAGCCCCAGACCTCATAAAAAAAGTTTCAAGTCGCTAAAAATTAGTGATGTTTTATGAGGGTGCGATTTGATATGAAATGACTCAATTGCATTAAAAAAGAATGAAAACTGTTAGAGAGAGAATATTAAATGTTAACTTATGTATGATGATGCTTCAAGACTTGTAATATCAAGTTAGTACGTGCAAATAAAATTATAATCCCCCCTCCATCTTTTTTTTTTCCTTTCCACTTCCTTAAGTATTTTGAATTATTAAAGATGGAATTTTGAACTAATACATGGTTTCTAGAGAACCTACATGAAAAATTCTTTAAAAATGCTATTTTTTTCCCTTTAAGGGTTTTGAGAATAAGTACTGTGACATATAATAGGGATACTTGTTTGAATAAATTTTCTTTAACTTTATGTACACTTACCTTCACTCGATCAGCATTGTTTATTACAATGTCTCGAACACCAGGTGATGTAAAATAAATATTTTTCTTTTTTCCTTCTTTGCATCTTGTTAACAAACAAGTTGGATCCAGTTTGGAATCAATTTCATAGAAATTTCTACAAACGGAATTTTACAATTATTAAGTAACTGAAGCACAAAGCTTAGGGAATTACATACATTGTAAATACTTCTAGTATGATAATGGAGTCTAATAAAAATATCAGTCCTTTTTCTTCCCCTTTCTACATTTGAAATCTTACTCACTAGTCACAAAATGATTATTACATTCTCAAAATATATTAAAATTTAAAAATTGACATGAAACTATTTTAAGCAATGATTGTGTAGGAATATTTCATATGAACAGAAAAGAAGTTCCTAAAATATTGTGGGAAAAGAAATTAAAGCGCGGTAGTATATTGCCCAACACCCCATTTCAACGTTGAAATTGATGGCTAAAAAGGTTTTTTATAATAAGCACCTATAACAAAGATGAATTCAAAACAGTCATTACAAAGAGAAAAGAAGAAATTCCTGGATGCATTCTTAATTACAATAAATCTATGGGAGGGATAGATCTGAAATATCGGTGCTTGTAAAGATATCTTAATGAAAGGAAGAAAAGCAAGAAATGGAATATGTGCAGATTATAAATGTCACTGTGTTGGATACATTTATTATTTGGAAAAAGAATCATACTGGGGCAAGAATCCAAATCTTTGAAATTTTGTATTGATCTGGTCAAAGTAATTGTTATATGCTCATTCACATGATAAAAGAGCAGTATGTGAGCTTCATTCGGCGAGTGATTTAGATCGCTTGTTAGGAAGACACTTTTTTGAAAGAATTCCACCTCAAGGTGACAAAATTAAACAACAGAAACAATGTGTGTTATGTCACATGAATGGGAGTATCCGTAAAGAAAATTAGTGACCCGTATTTTTAATGAAGTTCTACTCTTAATAAACATTGATGCAAATGAATTAAGGTGTTGCACATTTATTTCAATTTTCCATTTTCTCAAAGTAATTATTATTTAATCATTATCATTGTTTATCATATTATTGAAGACGTGAAGCAATGTGTTCTCAGGAAAGAGCATGTTTTCAGAGTTGGAGAGCACAACGCCGTCTGAACTAAAATTCTCCTGCAGCAGGCCACAGCAGATGAGTTCACCTTGCTACCTGCCCTTGCGGTGATGCTGACCGCACCTTTCACATAAAACTGCTTTCAAATGCTACTGTGATCACCCTAGGCACTGCATTGAAGGGTTAATTACATGAAAGCATAGTTGGAGTTTTAAAGAATTAAAAAAAACATAAAATGTGGGAAAATATTAAATGGGGATTCCACTGCAAATTGATAAATTATTTAGAATCTCTTAAAATACGGGATACAGTTTGGCTAAAGTATTGTTCACCAAAAATCTTTAATTTCTAACTTAAGGATTCCAACTAAACCTCTCTCCTCTCATAAGTCATGTAACTTATGAAAAAGACAGGTGAAAGGAAGATCTGCAACAACTATCTATCTGAATTCAATCAGCATAAACTAATTTAGAAACAAATTACTAGTATAAGTTGAATTAAAGAAATATACCTAATAAGAGGCCAAAGGGGTTCGTTTTCATCAAAGAAAATAAAAGGATCTTCTTTGTAGCCCTGAATACGTCGCTTCTTACGCTGAGGCTCATTTGTTTTATCATTTTCTCTTTTTGAACCTTTCTCTTGATCCTTATTTTCTAGCTCCACCTCTTTTTTCTCTGATTCCCAAGGCAATAGTTTATTTTTAACAAGGACAGCAACAAAAAAACCTCCTGTATCTTGATGATGAGGAAGAACACGAATACTGAAAAGAACCATAAATCAATGATTAAACTGAAGCGGATACTTTGTATCATCTTAAAATAAGTAATGTAGCAGTACATCATAAGATGAATAATGTGTAATGATGCAAAGGTTTCCTTGCACAAAAAATCTGAAGGTATATTTGGAAGAGAAACAAAAACACTTATTATAATTTACAATAATTTCCCAAACACTTATTAGTTCTTAATCACAATAATATAATACTAGGGGCAACCGTAAAAAAGAATGGGATGAAATGAAAGCCTTGCATTTAAAAAGAATATAAAAATGCAGTTATGTTTATCAAAAACACAACATTATTCACGCTAATGACCCAATTTCTCACTGTGTAAACTACTAAATTGTACTGCCAGATGTCATTCCAATTAGAAAATCAAGTAACAAAAAAAGGCAGCGTATCCTTAACAACTCAAGATTCTATTTTGTTCTATTTGCTCAAACTTTATAATATACAGAGAGACAGGTAATTATATTATAGATTAAAATTACTGATTATGCATAAGCAAGGATGCAAATATCAACAATTTAAACATATTTATTTTAGCAAATTGTTCTTCACATATGATAAAAATATTCAAACAAACAAACATTTAAAAATATATTTTAAAGTACATTTCTGTTTACCATTTATCCAAATGCAACTTTTCAGCTTCTTCTTTTGAAGGAGGAAACATCTGAGGAATGATCTGTTGATGCCATTCCTCTGGAACATCTTCATATTTTTCATAACCTTTTATATCCCTACTAGCAGGTAGCCAATGTGACATCCCAGGGACAAACTTCAGACCTGGAAGTTTGGAGGTTACATCAAGAAGCTCAACAGCACCTGTGTAACAGGAGTTCGTACCAAGTAGATGAAAGCTTCAAAACAAAATATATTACCAAAATCAGTTAAACACACTACTCTAACAACAAACCATTTGCTTCTTTTAATATCCTACTAATGACAGCTTCATCTTCCACGGGATTCAATGAACATGTTGAATAAACTATTTGGCCACCTATTTCAAGCATCTCAAGTCCCCTCCGCAAAATACGCCACTGGATTCTGGACAAAAGACATTTTTCGATTAGAGTGCTTTATTCTTTATTTTAAAAAAAGTGGTCTCTAAAACTTCAGTTCAAAACAGGAACATTTCACTTATAGGACTACATGATGTTCTGCTTCTGATGACAAGTCTCCGATTTCCAAGATAATTTGTATTTTTGGTGAATTAGTAACAGTGTGTCTTGTCTATTAACCTAGTTTGTTCTTTAACATGTAAATGACATGTCCCATAGTACATAATCAATTGATTTAAAAAAGCAAGGAAACAAATATGCTTTTTGTATACTTACCCAATGATACATTTTTCTTCATGAACATACTATGACCTAACAACTGCTGCCCTGTAGTTTTTCTAATGCACTGATAATGGAATAAAAGCAAACTCAGAATTATAAAACATGGCAAAATATTTTATTATAATTAATTCATAGGTATCTTAGCTGATGGCTCAGAGCAATCTTGTTTTTACTTTCTTGGGCACAACTAGAGACATTGTATGGAGAATTAAGTTATGTTTCAAAATATCAATGTTGAGTATTTGCAAGGATGGGGTTTTGAAACAGCGTTTTTCTCCCTTTTAACATCAGTATGTCTGATTGGGAGTAATACTACTTAAATTTCCTTAAAATGATGTAATCTCTGATTGATCAGGCTCTGCTCCAAGACTAGTGATTTGAAATGCATATTTTGGACATGAGGCCTGTTAGAAAAGAATCTAATCTTTTTTTTTTCTGCAAAAACTCGATGGATTTGCATTTAGTGCGCTTGTACGAGCTGTCCTTGAACCTTCATGCGCATACGTGAAGGTTCTGAGACTGGAGTTGAGGTCAATGGGAAATTAGTACCTCAATCTGCTCTAGCAAATTCCTTGCACTTGATTAAGACCTTCTTGGCAAAAAAATCGGACTCCTGAGTTTCAAGAAAATCCTTACTCTCGTGATACGCCCCCTGCAACTTCTGGCTGTTCCCTACACTCAAGAGGCCATTGAAAGGAACACGACTTCAGACAACAGAGGACTCTGCATGCAAAACTCCATTCCGAAAGAGCCATTCTCTGAATGTTTTCAACAATGGCAGCACTGAGAGAAGTGTGTAGAATCCCAAGACTATTATGAGGGTGGTTAGGTTTCCAACACTACAAGTATGCCAGTTTATTTTCCCAGGCCAAAGGTTAGATACTTTTCTAGCAGACCTCGTACTTCACACAGGCTGTGACAAACTTTCAGAAACTAATTTCCAAACCTTTCCCAGTTTAAGACAGTAGCTAGGAGAGGGTCCATGAGACTATGGGCCCTTTGTCTAAAGGATGCAAAAATTAATTCTACATTCTTTAATCTACATCCAAGCAAATTTTTAAGATTTTATTTCAATCCATTAGTTTGGTAGAGCAACATTCAAGAACAATGAGCATTTTCAATTGGTAGCTGTGTTTTGTTTCATAGTGAATCTGCTGCGAATAAAATATTTTTTCCCCTTGTATACTTTTTATGTGTAGTCAGAGTATTTTAGATTATCTTGTGACTGAAGGAGCAAAGAAAAAGAAACAACTAGAAAATATACCTGGAAAGAGAACATCACTAAATTATGATGTGCAACACTGCTTCCTTACTTGAGAAAAAAATAGTATTCAAAGACACTGCATTCAGAATACAACAGTATAGCGTTCTAGTGTACAAATCATTGGACGTATCTTAGACATACTATTTGAACGATTCCTTTACAGGAAGAATTACCCAGAACATCGCCCTTCAACCTGTCATTCCAGTTCCAGCAAAAGTTAAAGGTATTTGGGACTCATATAGGTACTTAAGGAAGAGAGCAAAACATTTTTAACAAATATTTGAAGAGTATACTCAATAGTATCAATAATAATAGCAAATTAAAATTTAAAATATTTATTATTTACTCCATTTAAATAATAAATATGAAGTGTTCTCCAGAACTAGGGCCTATAACGCATTTTTTCTTTATGCCACACATTTGAAATTAAGGAGAATTTATTTACATCCTAAAAGAAATTAACTTTAAAAATTATTATAAAACATTAAAATAATATGTAATTAGCAATTAAATAGACTAGTGTGTAGAATGCTACAATCAAAAAATTTGAAATGTGTTTTGAGAAAAACATAGTTTTGGAGTATATTTTAGATGTAGGAAGATGTCAAAAAAATGTTCACCTATTACCATTTTCAAACATCAGGGTTTTCACTGAACAAGAGGCCTCCACCATACTCTCAAATGTCCTTCTCACTTACAACAAAATTTAATCAAAAACAGAGGCCATATTTTTTGAAAATTTTGAAAATGTCCCAGGGGCTAGTAGATAAGAAGTCCCAGTAGTAGAAGGGGCTAGTAGAAAAGAAGTCGGCAAAATAATATGAAGTAAGAAAGGAGTTTTTGAAGAGTAAAATAAAAGAGATTAAACAGCTAAGCGACACAAACGACTATCAGAAATTTTAAGGGTGCCAGGAAAGGAGTAATCTATGTAAATGGAAATTTGGTTGAAGACAACAAGGGATGTTTGAAAAATGGACTGAATATTATAACAAGCTCCTAAATAATAGTAATGAAGATCACCATGAAAGTTTAAGAGAATTATTAGAAGATCATACAGGAAAATCTGAAACTGAGATAGAAGTATCAACAGTAGAAAAGATACAGGGAGGTGTGAAAATGCATGGAAAGCATCTGGGGAAAATGAGCACCACTGGACCACAATCTTAAGATTTGGGAAAGAAATAAAATACCAAGAGAATGAAAAAGCAGACTTCTAAATCCTACCTATAAGAAACGAGACAAGCTCGATTATAAAAACTACAGAGGTATTACCCTCTTGAACACTATAAACAAGATATCCTCTAGTTTAGTTCAGAAGTGAGTTAACTACTTCACTGAAAATTTTCTTGAGGAGTACCAATGTGGATTCTAGAAAGGTAGAGGAACAACACATCAGCTATTTACAATTAGACAAATAATTGAAAAATGTTAGGATTACAAGATTTATTTACACATACACTTCGGCGATTATAAATAAGCCTTTGAAAGCAAGAAATGGAATGTTCAGAGTGCTAATGGAAGATTGAAGACCAAGCAAATTGATAAGGCTGATTCAAACTTATTATTATAAAATTATCCCATTAAATTTAAAGACAGTTAAATAATAAAAATGTTAATATTTTTTTCAATTTCTCATCATTTTTTAGTCCTGAAAAATAATTGTTATAAACATTTCACTGAACATGTTACAATTTTCATCAGCCATACATAAACTAAATGCAGTCATATTATTATCCCTTCCATCAATGACAACTTCAGTTACAAGCTTCTTACAAAAAATTAGGTAACATTTTTCACAAGCACAATGGAAGTACAACTAGAATAAATGCATGCTGATACAAAAAAGAAGGAAGAAAAAAAAGAAGATACAACATAATAATATAACCATCTGGAATCCATCAAACTGCTTTTGTCATCAAAAGCATCAATTTAGGGACTGAGAACTGATTATACCTATGTAGGTTGTTGCCATTGGCAGCATTCCATTTTAGCCAAATATCTGGGTTCTTGCGCATTGTTCCATCTCCAGAACAAGGGACATCACATAAAATCCTGTCAAACTTGACTATTGAAGGTTTGCCATCTAAAAATTTCAAAAGGTGATGAGAATATTTTAAAAAAGTTGCTTCAGTTTCTGGCAAATAAAAATAAAATCCACATTTCCCCTTCTATTTTTATTCTTGCATACTTATGAACACAAACTATTCAAATATTAATTGTCATGATTTATTTATTCTTTGCAAACTTGGAAAAAATTATTTTAATTTTCTAAAACAGGATGGTGACAAAATTTGGAAAACAAACTTTCTGAACTTTCCCTGGTTTTCCAGATCTTTCAACATCAATTTTAAAGAAATCCAAAACTCTTCTTACTAACATGATTTAAAGCACCAATTTAAGAAACAAAATAAATTAACTTTTCATCAATATTTTCTCCATTTGCACCATTATGGTCTGCCAATAAAGCTTTGAATGTTTTAGAAATTCAGGATTTATGTTGTTCTACAAAAGTATTCTCCTTATTGTCTTACCTGATTTTGTTATGAAGTTAGGCATAGCTCCCGAGTCTTGGTTTGTTATAATTATACAGGGTGAATTAAGACGTTTTGCTTGGTGTACTAACATATAACAGCGTTTGTTGTCAATATCATTAGCAATAACATATCCAGCTGTAAAGCATCAACAAATGAATGTAAAAAAAAAAAAGATTATATTAAATTATTCATGATTCTTATGAAAATTGACCCTATCAAATACTTGGAATATTATTGTTGTCTCCATGTAGCAATTCGATAAGTTGAGAAGTCTTCGAGCCAGGAGCAGCACACATGTCTAAAACCTAGAATTAAAAAACATAGTCACAAATAAAGAACTTCTCTGTTCACTTTCAATGCCAATTTTGTCACACATACAATCTGCAAGATGTTGAAATTTTTTACCTTGTGGTGTGACTGCACATCCAATACAAGTGGAGGTATCATACTCACAGCTTCTTGTCTACTAATGTTACCAGAATTTGTTTCTGAGATTAAGAAATTGTGAAGACGAAAATATTCTTCTGAACGCCGAATATCTTTACGAGTTAATTTAAGCTGCCAAGCAAGACCATCTGGGTACCTTTAAATGAAATTAGTTCACCATTATTACCATGGAGTATTCACAGTACACGGAGATAACTCCATCACTTTCATTCATTAATGAAGAAAGATGTCAAAGATTCAAATTTCATAGGCAGCACTGCAGATGGAAGAAATGGATCAGTTATCCAGAGTCCCAACACTGTAGGGGCTTTCAATTATCACATCCTCAAAAATTACATTAATAGCCATTAAAGAAAAAAACCTTACTCTGTACAATTTCCAATTTTGAACAGAACAGAAAATATACAATTTTAAAAGTAAATTAGCTTAAAACATTTATTAATAATCAAACTCCCCAAAGTAGACTTGGTAGAGATGCAAGAATACAACAATTTTTTATGGTATCTGCTAAAGTTTCTATACCACACCCCATTTTCTTTATTAGGGATTGGCAACCCATGCACTGCATGGCCCACAAAGCCTTCCATTGCACTTCAGAAAACTTGAATAACTGTAGCCATACTGCACTTAATACAATGAGAATTAATTGTTTTATGATTTTCAGTTACAACAATTATTCATTTCAAAAAATCCTTTTTTTTAAACACGACCGAGAAATTCCCTAATGTGCAACCTGCCCATCCCGCTCTATTTCTTATGCATCTCCTCTTCCATGAATAGCCCTTGTGTTTATATAAGACTGACATGGACAACACTTTCCACTGTATTTTAAGTGGCTCATTGTAGATGCAACTCTTGGTTCTGCGCTCTGAGGTTAATACGAGCTTCCTGATAACAAATGCATTTAAGCAATAGAACTCCCTGGAGAAAAAGTATTACAAGGAATAATTAGTCAAAATGCATGGTTGTGTAAATGAGATCGAGTTCTTCCAAAATCCTTTTCTAAAAATTCTGAACGATTCAAATGTTTCAAGGGATGCATTTAAAGACTGATTCAAAGGTGACAAATTGTTTGTATTTATGCATATTTCTGAGTACTTTGCCTTCCTACTTATAGTTGGTTTATAGGGAAAGGACTAAGTCTATGAAGCAATTAACACTTCAAACAGTAACAATTACATAAACATTATAGTACGAGGATAACATAAGTAATTTATTCTTTTTGCTTACCGACGCTCACTGCCAATGTGTCTAGGTGTCCTGGGTTCCTTTCTCGAGAATAGTAATATACTATAAATAATCTCTTTTGCATACTTATACAATGTTGCCTGTCTAGCTTGCATATTAATTATTTTCTAAAATAAAATTAAATTGTAAAAATCATTAACTCTTTCCAGCACGGTGGTTCAAAATATGTACCAGTGTGTGCAATACACTGACTGCAGGGAGGTAAAAAATTTGAACCATCATTTCTTCTCTGTATGTGTTGTTTCATGGAGGGGGATAATTTATGAACCACCACAAAAGATTGCAGACACTAGTTCCAAGAAGCACCGTAAGATGTAGGCTTGATAAATGCCAACAGAATACCCGAGAAGCATTTTCTACAAAACCTACAAGACTTGTCAGCTGTTGGTGTGAGCAGATGTCAGAGCTGTGCAACTAGTGCAAAATTTTTTTTCCAATGGCTCTGTGCTCGACAGTTGATGTGTTTCTTCACTAAATAATTACATCTGGGCACCCCAAATAGACTTAACACTAGTAATGACATAGGTACTAATAAATGAATTATAATTTAATTTTTAACGAAATATCCACGCTTAACTCTTTGCAGGCACAGATCCACTAGGAGGGAAATTTTCCCTCCGAAAATTTTTCAGTAACTAATTTTTATTTGTCACAAAACTTTCGAACAAAAATATTTTTGTATAAACAATAGAATGAATAAAACTGTATTGCAACATGAGCTGAGTTTAACCTGCGCCATTCTACATAACCAGTAATATGACAAGTTCGACCAAAACATTTAAATAAATAAATTTTCCCTCCAAAATTCATCTCTAGATCTGGCCCAGCTCTTTGCAATATTAAATAGCCTCTCTACGATGTGATACAAGAAACACATAGAAAAAGTAAAAACAAAATTTAATTATTTGTATAAAGATATCGGTACTTACTTACACAAAGTTCAATCTTCTCCAACAAAGATCTCGCTATTTCAGCCGGCAATTTTTGTGTAACTAGCCAATTCTCAAAATTTGCCTTGGATTGTTTTGTCTTTATTAGCTCATTGCAAGAGAAACTCGCAATCTGCTGAACTCATTAGAAGGCTTACAGCAATTTGTAATAGTCCTTGAGGTTGGAATTGAACTTGTTTATTTGATTTTTACACTTTATTTCAACCGATTTGAAAATTTTTGTATTTCCGAGTCATAAGGACATCAAACTTCAGTGCAGGAATATTATATTAAATACGTCCTTATAATCGGCTACAAATTCATCCACATTAACAAAATCTACCATTGAGTGAATGAACTGAGTTTGTAAGAGATTTTTGGATCGTATTTTCAAGTGGCTAATAATATTATCCATTACATGACATGATTACTAATTGAAAATTCGATTAATTGATTGTTAGTGATTCCGGGCACATCAACTACAAGAGTCATTAGTGCCGTAAGTGTAGTGCATATGTTTGCTCGGGAGGTGGTGGTGGTGGTCTACCTCTACTGTATGACAAGATACTGTGCTGACCTACCATCAGCTAGTTTTCCCTAACCCAATATCTCCCAGGCACTGCCCTAGCTGGAACAAGCTCTGAGCTTCTGACGGGTCTCCCAGCTAGTGTGGCAATGTCGTGCATGTAGGACCTCCAGGTCAGAGGAACTGCAGTGACATCAGATTATGCCCTAAGCCACCTTTCCCGGTTCGCAAATAAAAATGATTTATGATTTTATTGTTATTGATGCCAATTGATAATTGATATCAAATAATTTTTGTTGAAGCTTGAGTTTTATACAAAATGCCTCTTGGATGGCTGAAGTTTATGAGGCACAGCATTGTAACGTTTGTTTTTTCGAATCAATTTATAAATAAATGTAATATAACATACAAGACATTTTAATTAAAAAATTAATAAGTATAAGTAAAATATTACATTTAATCTCTCAGTTATTTTAAAACAATTTAATAATTTAATGACACAAAATACAAGTTAAAAGAAATAGAAAAAGTTACATTACATTCTTATCAATATAAAAGAAATTGAGACACGTTTCAGATTCACTCTTTTTATCACTAAGTACATTGAAGAAACAACTACATAGCACCACGATTTCAGCCCAGAAAAATTTAATGAACTCTTTTCATTTTTATGAGTCCACAACTTAATAATAAATTGGATAATTTGAAATAATAATAAATTTAGTACCAATAAATTATCCACTTACCATGGAAGATTAATTAATTTTAATTCATCAGGAGATAGTTCTTCATTTTCACCAACTGACTCATCAACTGTCTTGCTGTTTTGGGTGGGATTAAGAATATCCTTAAAAAATTCACTTTTCACAACTTTTAAGAGTGCTCTAGCTTCTACTTTTGACCCAGTAATTCGAAAGGTTGTTGGCAAATTTTCTTTTATTGAAGTTATGAATGTATCCCATTCAGAATCTGGGCAAATACCCTGCAACTGTGCAAAGACAAAGTTGAAACAAGAAGAAAAAATATATTATCAAGTTCATATAGTCTTAACACTTCCCAAATTACACAGGTTACATCAACACATAATCGCTGAAAAGTGGGCAAATTGAAAGAACTGAGTTCTTATACTAACAGTTTATACAGTAATTTATTTATTACTTACATTTATCAATTAAAATAACAGTTCAAATAAACAAATTCACCATCCAGAAACAACAATAATTATTACACACAACCAGAATCACCAACGGTGAATAAAAATTAACACTTTTGTCTATTAATTATTTTTCAGAGAATTAAAGTTTCTTTATGTAAATATCTGAATTGTAAACTACCAATTTAACATCATTACATCACACTTGCCAGTCATGTACACTAAAATATCCCAGCACAAATGAGGAGAAAATAAATTAATCATCCAGGTTTTACCTTATAATATTTCTCAAAATCTTCATTTTCCCTAACAATATCTTGATAGCTACGTCTTGGTGTTTCATCCCATTTACCCTATAATAAAAAGAAAATACATAAAAGACATTGCATAGAACACTATTTCATGTGAGGGCTGAATGCCAGATTGTTTTAATAACAAGTACAATCCTCCAACTATAATTCTTCGTTTGACAAAGGTGTTTTAAATAGTAAATACTTGCATTGTGCCTTAAAACGTTAAATGTAAAAAGCATTATGATATGCCCACATTTCGTTGAGCTCTCCTTCTGCTAGTTGTGGTTAAAGGAGAGCCATGGGTTCTGGGTGGGTGATTAGTTAGCAATACTAAAAAATCAAACCTATAGTTACCTTACATATACAAATATGTTTTTCATAACCTCACCTCATTTCCTTGCTTATTTCTACCTTTCTTTGACTTCTTGAATTTGCCCATAACGTTTTGCCTTGATTTTTCGAATAAGTCTAAACACAGTTCATTAACCAATAATGATTTCACGATAATAATTACAAACTTTGAGTAACGTGGGACACTGCACTACTTGCTTAAGAGCCTCAGAGCCACGCCGCCACTCTCATTCGTATCTTTATACTAGCATTTATTAAACCATGCACCTGACATAAATCAGCTGTTCACGGTTTCATCCAAGAGGTAGCTTCAACGTCCCCGTAGAAAGCCACTGTAGCGACATATAAGTTTCCGATTGGATGAAATCGAAACAGCTAATATACGTCAAGTGCACGATTAAATAAATTATACCATATACTCCGATTTAAACACAGTGGCACTCCAATACCAAAAATATATTATTTTTCCAACTCTACTCCAGAGTAACTCTACAACTACGTTCCCGATTGGATAAAACTGACAACAGCTGATACTTGGCAGGGGCAGAGTTGGAAAAATAAAGGCCCATTCACAATGTAAACGTTAATATAGGCATAACGCATATACGTTAGTGACAGACTGAATTATTAACAATGTCTAACATAAATGTTATGATTGCTTGGATGTGAGAATCGATTTCACGGTATCGACCGTGTCGATGGCCCTTATAGCGTTAGTTCGTCGATCGACTTCACTCCTCTATCGATTTTGACTTAACGTACTGTGATTGGATCATTTCTAATGTCTTACTTACGAATAAGCACAAAGCTTGAAGCTTGCGAGCTTTTAAGTTAATGTTTTATGCCTATGCGAATGCGATGTGAATGAGTCCGCTTATGGACGTAGTCCCAACTTTTATGTTAACGCCATGCTTATGTCTATGTTTGCATCGTGTCGTAACGAAGATTTCGATCGGATTCCGATCGTAATGAAAATTCCTCTTCGTCCAGCTTGTGACGCTGATATACCAATGTGTTTAAATCGAAGTACACTTTCTATGCTTTCCTTCAATTTCTTACCAACCTAAAAAATTGAAACACTGGCCATGGGCTCGTGACCAAGTAAGGACAGACTAAGGAGGTATGATATTTCTATGCCAAACGTCCGTCACAAATAGAGCAGGTAAGAAATAGTTGGTCAGGCAATGCGTCCAAAAACGGCGTTAACCGCACTATGAAAGGTAAGGATCAGCAATTCGCGGCAAAACTTCGAAATGTATGCCTCAATAATGAAAGAATACAAAGCATGTTTGAAAGAAAAGAAAACTGAGTACATAAACAAAGAGGGAGAAATGGCAAAGGAAGCACAACAAGACCCCTTGAAGATACTACAACCTATACTGGGTTTTTCGCAACTCTGCCTCTGGCAGGTATCAGCTGTTGACAGCTTCATCCAATCGGAAGCAGAAGGCTGTAGGCCCCCGCATAGATCGCAGTAGAGTGTACTGTGGATGCAATACTTTTGATCATGTGGCATACGGTTCATTGTAAATTTTATTCTCAAAATTCATCAAATTCTCAATTTGCTATCCCCAGCATTGCTGTTCCACACGCCTCTGTTCAAAAAGTACATTTGATGAGTTCTTGTTGTGGCCGTTTTAGATGGAAGTGCCTTAGTTTCTCACGGAAAATGTATCTACGCTTTTTCAATATCGCCATTTATACCATGATAGAGAAGTTTCGAGATAAAATAATTTTATTTGCGTGAAACGTGTCGAAGCAATAATGCTTGTTGCAATATGCTGGAGTAGTGCCCAGTGGAAATCAAAGCCACGTGCACTGGAGGTGTATATACCTGACACGAACGCGACGCATAGAATTACGTGTAGTACGATTTATTTAATCGTACACTTGACGTAAACCAGCTGTTGCGGTTTCATCCAGTCAGGAGTTTATAAGTCGCTACGTGACGTCACTATTGGGACGTTCAAGCTCCCGATTGGATGAAACCGTGAACAGCTGTTTTACGACGAGTTCACGGTTAAATAAATCGTAGTATAAGAAATGGTTCAATATAGACTTTTATTTAACTTAATTTTAGTTAATTTACTTGAATTGCTTACAACGGTATAAGTGGCATTTGATAAATTCTGAGAAAACGTGTCTATTTTAGGCTATATTTTAGTGGAGATGTATTTTCGTGGTTTTAATGAACATATGAAATGCCATGGTTTTAATGGTGAAACAAAGCGCCAAGACTTTACAGTAATATTGACTTAAACAGATTTCTCAGAATTTAAAAAAAATGCCACTAATACATTTCTGGTTTTCACTCATTCGTATTTTGGATTTTTGAAAATACGTGTACATTTCCGTAATTCAATGATGCAACTTTCAGTCTATTGGAGCCGCCACTGTTCAAATGACTTCTAATGAAGTTTTTCGAAAAATCAAAAATTGTTTGTGAAAAAGAGCTTCAAATTTCGAAATTACAATTGCGCCATTTTCTTAAAAACAGTTCCATTGGTTTAAAAATAATTGTCATTTAGGACGAAGTTTTACTGTTTTTTAATATTATTAAAATAATATTTTCTTTCCACTATTAGGAAACCAAAAATTTAAAAACATTTCAAAAAATGAACTTTGTGCAGCGATAGATGGCAGCTGGCAGAGGTAAGTTCGTATAGCTAGCCGAGACCAAAGGGAATAGAAAACTAATGTGGGAAAGTCTGTGTTATGTTATGCACCACCCAGTGTATTTTTTTAAAACAAAGAAATATCTCAAAATGAACTTATTGATATATTAAACAGTGCACTGTCCTTTCAAAAATGAAGAAACAATTTGGAGCCGTTTTTGAGAAAATGGCGTGTGAGCGTTTCTGAAAATGCTGAATTTTGGGCTAGTTTTTCACTGAAAATGGTTAAGTTATCGAGAAACTTTATATGACATTATTTAAACCACATGTACTCATAAATATAATGCGAACAAATTGCCACTAATGTAAATATTAACGACGTGAGAGACTAATAAAAAATACATTTTTGTAATATATGAAAAAACAAAAGGATAGGGCAATATTGCGTTTATGTCATCTCTCATGGAGTGTATGTATCACCATCCCTACCAAAAAATTTTCAGAAAAAATTTGGAGCCAGTTTTGAAAAAATCTTGCTTTTGTGTGTGTGTTTTTTTTTTAAATTGCAAACATTGCACTCAATATTGCGTGAAAACTACTAAAAGTTTAAAAAAAAATGTACATGACCATAATGAAAGAACTATTTATGAACAAAGACGCCAAAAAGTTTAAACGAAAATTCAATTCATTTTCAAAAATTCAGAGTTAACCGCGAAAATCCGACCTATGCCGCCTTTATCCGTGTTTTTTTTAATCTATTCTTGCAATAAATTTAAAGAAACAATTTAGAGCCGTTTTTAAGAAAATTTTGAAAATGCCTGGAGTGCTTCATGTAAAGTACCCCCAAATTTCAAAGAAAGATTTTCAAAATCCCAACGCCTCGAGCCAGATCAAATGGGGAATATCTATTTGAGAAAAAAATGTACGTATGGTTTTAGCGCTAGTGGTGTTTCCAGACTGACAGACGGATGTTTTGCCGTAAATTGATTTTTCGGTACCAAGTCCTACAAAACAAGGATTCTGGCTTCACCACGTATTAGAGGATTTTTTCTTAATTTAGCAACTGGATTTATCTATTTTTTTCGTTATCAGGACCTAGCAATGATTTTTTTCTGCCGAAAATCCGCCGTTTTTTGTGCAATACTACATAACTTTCCTTTGTACTAATATACTACGTGTATTACTCCGTATATACGAATGTATATGGGAAAGTAAAAAGCGACAAATTTTGAGTTTAATTTAATTTTTTTAACTTTGCTATGCTAATTTTACGAACTTCGTGAGGAGAAGGCCCGGGAATTTCAAATCCGACGCGGCACTGGAACAGTGGTTCGCAAATAACAACGTTGCGAATGCCGTTACCAAGTTCACTAATATCTGATTGGCTCGCTTGCTCGCTGCCCTTTTTCGCTTTATATTTCCTTCTTGAGCTCCGCTATCGCTGCTACTGATTCTTGAGCCACCAAGTCTCCTCAGTATACGGGATTTGTTCGAAGGATGACTGGGTAAAAATTGGAATTTGGAATCACACAATTTTAAAGATATATTCAGTTCTATATTTGGGTTACAGAGGATACGAGAACGTCTGTCCCAAATATAGCACCAGTAGTGTAGTTTGTGAAATAAAATAAATTGAAATAAACTAGTGATGGAATCAATGGCACAGACTTTCTCAAACTAGTTCGATTCCTAATTTCTTTGCTCTGAGCTAAATTTTCGGTTTTGCCCCACCCTCTTCCCAGCTGCCATCCATTGCCACCTAAGTATCATTTTCTTAATTTTTCGGTCCCCTAATGATAGAATCGAAACATGACTTTAATAATACTATAGAAGAGTAAAACTTCGTAATTTGTAAACATTTTCATTGAAAAATTCTAAGTAACTGCCGTTTCAGTGTTTCTGAAAATGCAGAACTGCGAGCTAAATTTCTCAGAATACTTTTAAGTTTTTGAGGAATCCTAAAATGAATACAAATTTCTTAACTTCCATTCAGTTTTAAACTGCATACTAGATCTACCCTGATATAAAAATTTAATTAATAAATCAACATCCAAACCATTCCCATAAAAAATGCAGCTATCAATAAATTCCATTTGTACGTCATAGGTCTTTTACACAAGGAGATAAAGAGGCCAAGTTTCCTCAGGAGCAAGAATATCTTGAATCACATGCCTCAAACTGCAAGTAATAAAACATTTATTATGTTACACCTGGTTTTTTACCACATAAAACATATTCTACATAAACATTAGCAACGCATGAAGCTAAATAACTTTCACATTGAGCAGTATCGTTTGGAGAAGCTCATTCATCGGAAGATAAAATAGAACCAAAAAATAAGCGCCAGTTAGCCACGCCAAAAGGAACTTTCATCATTTGAAGTATATTACCCCAAGAATTGTTTTCAAAATCATCAATAGAGATATATTGCTTAGCTTTACAATAAATTACTCTTTTCTGTTTCAAATCTTTAGTTTTCTTTGCGTCTTCATTTAAAGCACGAGAACTCACAAATGCCAAAAAATGCAAAAATTGGAGCCATTTTTGAAAAATTGTTTTTGACATTTTTTTGTAACGCATATATTTTTATGCAATATGACGCGAAAACTACTAACATTTTCAAAGAAATGCGTGACGTCAATGAAAAAACTAATTAGGGAGAACAAATTTCATCTGAAGAAAAATCTTAGTCTTCAATATTGTAGTTATGAGGAGACG